ACACGGCTCAAAGGAGCTGACCTGAACTACAGTGACCTTCAAAAGAAGACCAAGCTGCTGGCCTTACTTTCGGACTCATGGTCCTCGCTCATCATCAACCTTAATCGAGATCTGCCCCGTCTCTCACTCGAAGATGTGAAGCGGGAAATCTTACAAGAAGATTTCCGCCGTCGCGAATTGGCGGGTCCCGATGGTGCCGGAGTTGCAAGCATGGGCCGTGGGCACGGCCGTGGAAGGGGCAGAGGGCGAGGAGGAAGATTTGGCAGCAGTAACTTCAATGGAGGCCGTGGTAATGGAGGATATGGCAGCAACAACAACAACAATGGCTACGGGCGTGGGCGCGGTCGATTTGATGGCGAATGCCACTTTTGATGGTGATTTTATCTTGCAGATCCAAGAACAAGAGCTCAAGATTTCAAGCCCAAGGGACGCGGATAAATATTAAATAGTGAAAATAGTAAAGTTATTTCGTGAAGTGTTACATTCACTTGGAATAGCCCCTTGGAGGGTTGGTTTCGAGACTCTTCATGGTTGGGGACTCTGTGGTGGTGTACCACCAACCTGGACCTCGGCTCTTGGGGTATGTAGAGGCTGGGAACCATCTCCCTCTCGAACTCTTCTTGCTAAGTTTGTACTTCCAAGACTATAGTGGCTGCTATACCTCCTGCCAGTAAAACTGCCATAGCGTCGTCAAAGCTTCATGGAATTTCATGATTCAACTTGCTACTGATAGACGACAGCAACGCGCTCTAGATCCAACTTACACATCACAGTTTGATTCAAAGACCAGATCGTTATCAATATTTGAAGCCGTCTGACGGAAATCCGACTGTGCTCTCTATCTCTCATTATAGGCACATCTAAGCCTATTGTGATTATAACACCTCCTGGCCACGTACGTCCCGCTGGCCCCTAAGAGCCCCGTTGACCCGTTAGAGCCCTCGTGGCCCCGTACGTCTCGCTGGCCCCTAGGCGCCCTGCTGGCCCGTTCGCGCCCTCTTGGCCTCGTATGCCCCGCTAGCCCCATGCACCTCGCATGCCCCGTTAGCACCCTCCTGGCCCCATACGTCCCGCTGGCCCCTAGGCGCCCCGCTGGCCCGTTAGCGCCCTCTTGGCCCCGTACGCCCCACTAGCCCCGTTGCGCCCTGCTAGCTTCGTGCGCCTCGCAGGCCTCGTTAGCGCCACGCTGGCTCTGTCGAGCCTCACTTGCCCCGTGTGCCTCGCCGGCCTCGTACGCCCTGCAGGCTCCTTAGCGCCCCGCTGGCCCGGTAGCGCCCTCCTGGCCCCGTCCGCCCCGTACGCCCTAGCCTTAGTGCCATGCCTCGCCGGTTTCGTCGTGCCCCGCTGACCCCTGTGCGCCCTTGCTGGCCTCGTGCACCTTACTGGCCCCGTGCGCCTTGCTGGCCCTGTGCACCTTGCTGGCCCCGTTCCTGCCCCGCTGGCCCCCTAGCGCCCTGCTGGTCCCTTGCGCCCCACTGGCCCCGTTTGCGCCAGCTCTCGTTCCCGCCGTGGCGCCTTGGATCCGCGTCGTCGTGCCACTGTGTCGACGTGCCGCCGTATCGCCGTGCCGCCGTTTCGCTGAGGACGTGTGATGGTGGACGATGTGCTGCGCCTGGCCGCCAGACCCTCCCCATGCTTTTCCCTGACCTAGCGGCCTTCCCCACTGTCGCTGACCTAGGCACTCAGGGGCGCTCGAGTGCACTGTCCCCGTGCACTCGAGGCTAGCTACCGCGCCACTAGCAATGAGGCCCAGCTCACTACCTTCCCGCCACCACTGTGTGCTACCCTTTACCTCATAGCCACGCACCTTCCGGACCACTTAGCCACTGCCCGTGACCACTTCCTTAGTCAGCACCTTGGTGACCTCACCCTTACCGCCTTTGTCACTGCCCTATCCGAGATGGCGACTCGCCAGCGTACTATCGCTCAATCGAGTGGTACAGTGGCAGTCCCTATCTTTTAGGGCTGTGCACCCTCCCTGTCCACTTACGCTGACGTTTCTGCCGCTGTTGCCGAGAAAGCCCCTGCTGCTGAGACCGCCTCTGCGGCCTCAGTGCAGCCGCGTCAACATAGGGGCCGCCGCCCCAAGGAGGGGCGTGGTGGAGGTCCGGGTGGTGGGGGTGGTGGAAGTGGGGGGGGGACAGCGGTTCCGACGAGGGGACCGGGGCTGGTGCCCCCGAATAGCAGCAGCAGCAGCCGCCACAGCAGCAGCAGCAGCAGTCATGGGGCCGCCTCCCGCCGGGGTGGCCCGGTGCCTCTGGTGGTGGTGGCCGCGATGGCGGCCCTCGCAGCTCGGTGTCGGGTGGCAACTCCAGCGCTGGGGGTTGCCAGTACCAGCTCTAGACCGGCCCCTTCCGTGGCACTGTGTGTGGTAGTCTGCACCCTACCACCTGCTGCTTCTGCTGCCTCGACGACCTCTTTTGCCGCCGCTTCGGCCCAACGTCGGACCTCCCCAACTTGTTCAGTCTTGTGCGTCGTGGTGTGCCTGTTTTTGAGTTAGACATGGATCAGATTTGTTTTGCTTTGCATTCCCTGCATGCAGATGCCTCTATTGTGACCAGACATTATTACCCTGTGTTGCCGAGTTTATGTGTGCCACAAGGGTCTAATCTAGACTCCCCTGCTGCATCAAGCGTAGGAACTTCTGCTTTGTTTAGTCTAGGCTCCACACTCTCTCCTCCGCTGGCTGCAGCTTCCGCTTCGCTCTCCTTCACGTTTGACTTCGGCACGTCTACCTGCTTCTTCTGCGACCATACTGAGCTCACACCGCTTGCCGCCCCTGCTGTTGTCGCGCTTGCTGGCCCCTCCTTGGGCCCTGTAATTGCTCGTAGCTCCACTACCCTTCCCTGTCCGGCGGTTCCCTCAAGCTCCCTTACGGGCCTACACATCCCCTCCCTTACGGCAGTTGGTGTCTGCTGTCTTCAGGACCTCGGCGTCACCACTACGTTCCCTCTACCGACGACGCCACAAATACCCCCCTCAGCACGTTCCCCCGGAACCCTCGGTCTGGCATGTTTACCCTCGACACCAAGTCCCCCTTGGTGAGGGCGCCCCCCCAGGTGCCTGCGTCTACTCAGGTCGCTGCAGCCTACTCGTGTCGGTCGCTCACTCACCCGTCGCTTCTGTGGCACCATCGCCTAGGTCACCCTGCACTCCCTCATCTGCGTCACATGTCCCAGTATGGTCTTGTCCTAGGTCTCCCTGCGTCGCTCCGTGCCCTCCCTCCCTCGCCTGTGCCCCCGTGCACGCCTTGCATCGAGAGCTAGTTGCGCCATGCTCCTCACTCCCCCTCGCCTCGCCCTACCACTGCGCCACTCCTGACCCTGCACCTGAACGTCTGGGGCCCATCCCCCGTCCCTAGGCCGCGTCGAGAGCGCTACACACGCTACACCACGGTGTTTCCTCTAGAGCAGAAGGTCGACGTGCCTGACGTTCTTATCCCATGGGTCGTAGGTGCATGCGTCCACCGCGGTCTTCCTGTGCTGTGTCTCCACTCCGGCCGTGGTGGCGAGTTTGCCTCAGGTCGGCTTGGCCAGTTCTGTCGTGCGGAGGGCATCACCCAGTCGTACACCCCGCCGGAATCCCCGCGGCAGAATGGGGTCGCTGAGCGACACATCTGTTTGGTCATGGAGGTGGCTCGTAAATCGATGATCCAAGCCAGTGCACACCATTTTCTGTGGCCGTTCTTTCACTACGCCGCTCACCAGCTTAACCCGTGGCCACACTCTCAGCGGCCGCAGCTTTCGCCGACCCTTCTCTGGACCGGGTTCCCTGGTGACGCGTCTGCATTCCACGTCCGGGGTTGCCTGGCTCACGTTCGTGCCTATGGCACAGACAAGCTCACTGCCCGCACAGTCCCTTGTGTCTTCCTAGGTTTCCCCCTCGACTCATCCGACAAGCACTTTTACCACCCGTCGTCCCACCGCTTTTTTCACTCGCGTAACGTCACCTAGGACAAGTCTGTCTCCTTCTACCATCACTTTCCTCACAGAGGTCTCGTGGTTTTCCCGCCCCTGTTTCTGGTTCCCGCTCCCCTGGTAGCCTCTGCTCCTCTCCCCCCCGTCCTGCCTCATCTGGTGTGTCTCACGTCACTCCCCTCCCGTCGGTTGTCCCGCTCGAGGAGTTGTCTGACTCTGGTGGTCGCGCGGCTCCGTCCTCGCCACCGGTCTCTGCCCCAGTGTATCCTCCTCCGTTGTCGCCGCAGCAACCATCGTCGCCACCGCAGCAGCAGCTACCATCGCCAACGCTGCAGCCGCAGCCACAGCAGTCGCCGCTGCGGCCACAGCCGCAGTCGTCGCCGCCGCAGCAGCAGCTGCCGCAGGGGTCCACGGGTCATGGGGTGGCACCGGTGCTAGAGAGGGTTCGCGTTGAGGGTGTCTTGGCGTGGAGCTTCTCGAAGGTAGATGTGGTGCAGCTGGAGGTTCTAGTGTCATCGTGGAGCCGCAGCAGCAGCAGTCGCCACCATTCCGGCCCTTCGCCTCCTCGGTCTTCCTTTCCCCGTCCCCCCGCCTGCGCCTCCTTCACCGCCACCTCCCCTGCCTCTCTACGGCCCTGAGCGCCAGAGCTGTTAAAAAACATAACACAAGCCCTGGTTCAAAACCTAGCGAGGACCCTGGCCTGGACTTCCGAAAGTCAGGCCCGAACTCGATGTTAGCGAGGCTCAGTAAGGAAAGGGGCTTTTCCTTACATTGGTCTTGGGGCTACACTATGAGTCCATTCGTTGAAACTGTATTTTCACGCAAGCATCACAGAAGGGGGTGTGTGATTTTACATTTTTGTTTTCATAAGTTCTTATCGCCACCACTCTATACCACGGCTTGGCTTTAATACACCCAACCAAGCCGTTTTGAGCCTCGTTATGATTTCAAAATGGAGGCTTGTTCAAACTATATCTTATGTGGCCTAAGGTGAGCATGACAGCACACAATCATCACACCAAACTGCTAACCATATAGGCTGCATGAGTGGTGGAGCTCTTGTCCTGCTGCAAAAGATGCATTTGGAACAAATATATTTTATTGAGGCATCACTAGAAAACATGGGCATGCATTTTATTGGCAAGGTTGATCGCATGAGGCATGCACGCCATCACCAAGGCTACTTGCAAAAGAGAAGGAGCCAGGCCAGCAAGCACTGCCACGGACACCAGCCAAGATGCACGGCTGAGAGCCAATCCTCGTGCCTTAGGCAGGAGGCATGTTGATCAGCTGGGGGGGTCGTGGCGACGGGCTGGGTAGTGCCTTGCAAGGGAAATCAGCAACCGCGGAGCCCATGCACACGAAGAAGACGACGAGCTGTGCCGATCGGTGCCGCCTTGCTGCCGGGTGCTCCGATGGGTGCTGGCTCGCTCCCGGGTGCTCCGATGGGTGCTGGCTCGCTCCCGGGTGCTCCGATGGGTGCTGGCCCGCTCCCGGGTGCTCCGATGGGTGCTGGCTCGCTCCCGGGTGCTCCGATGGAAGCTGGCTCGCTCCCGGGTGCTCCGATGGGTGCTGGCTCGCTCCCGGGTGCTCCGATGGAAGATGGCTCGCTCCCGGGTGCTCCGATGGGTGCTGGCTCGCTCCCGGGTGCTCCGATGGGTGCTGGCTCGCTCCCGGGTGCTCCGATGGGGGCTGGCTCGCTCCCGGGTGCTCCGATGGGTGCTGGCTCGCTCCCGGGTGCTCCGATGGGTGCTGGCTCGCTCCCGGGTGCTCCGATGGGTGCTGGCTCGCTCCCGGGTGCTCCGATGGGTGCTGGCTCGCTCCCGGATGCTCCGATGGGTGCTGGCTCGCTCCCGGGTGCTCCGATGGGTGCTGGCTCGCTCCCGGGTGCTCCGATGGGTGCTGGCTCGCTCCCAGGTGCTCCGATGGGTGCTGGCTCGCTCCCGGGTGCTCCGATGGGTGCTGGCTCGCTCCCGGGTGCTCCGATCGGTGCTGGCTCGCTCCCGGGTGCTCCGATGGGTGCTGGCTCGCTCCCGGGTGCTCCGATGGGTGCTGGCTCGCTCCCGGGTGCTCCGATGGGTGCTGGCTCGCTCCCGGGTGCTCCGATGGGTGCTGGCTCGCTCCCCGGTGCTCCGATGGGTGCTGGCTCGCTCCCGGGTGCTCCGATGGGTGCTGGCTCGCTCCCGGGTGCTCCGATGGGGGCTGGCTCGCTCCCGGGTGCTCCGATGGGTGCTGGCTCGCTCCCGGGTGCTCCGATGGGTGCTGGCTCGCTCCCGGGTGCTCCGATGGGTGCTGGCTCGCTCCCGGGTGCTCCGATGGGTGCTGGCTCGCTCCCGGGTGCTCCGATGGGTGCTGGCTCGCTCCCGGGTGCTCCGATGGGTGCTGGCTCGCTCCCGGGTGCTCCGATGGGGGCTGGCTCGCTCCCGGGTGCTCCGATGGGTGCTGGCTCGCTCCCGGGTGCTCCGATGGGTGCTGGCTCGCTCCCGGGTGCTCCGATGGGTGCTGGCTCGCTCCCGGGTGCTCCGATGGGTGCTGGCTCGCTCCCGGGTGCTCCGATGGGTGCTGGCTCGCTCCCGGGTGCTCCGATGGGTGCTGGCTTGCTCCCGGGTGCTCCGATGGGTGCTGGCTCGCTCCCCGGTGCTCCGATGGGTGCTGGCTCGCTCCCGGGTGCTCCGATGGGTGCTGGCTCGCTCCCGGGTGCTCCGATGGGGGCTGGCTCGCTCCCGGGTGCTCCGATGGGTGCTGGCTCGCTCCCGGGTGCTCCGATGGGTGCTGGCTCGCTCCCGGGTGCTCCGATGGGTGCTGGCTCGCTCCCGGGTGCTCCGATGGGTGCTGGCTCGGTCCCGGGTGCTCCGATGGGTGCTGGCCCGCTCCCGGGTGCTCCGATGGGTGCTGGCTCGCTCCCGGGTGCTCCGATGGGTGCTGGCTCGCTCCCGGGTGCTCCTACGGGTGCTGGCTCGCTTCCAGGTGCTCCGACGGATGCTGGCTCGCTCCCGGGTGCTCCGATGGGTGCTGGCTCGCTCCCGGGTGCTCCGATCGGTGCTGGCTCGCTCCCGGGTGCTTCGATCGGTGCTGGCTCGCTCCCGGGTGCTTCGATCGGTGCTGGCTCGCTCCTGGGTGCTTCGATCGGTGCTGGCTCGCTCCCGGGTGCTTCTATCGGTGCCCCTCCCACGGTGCAGGAGAAATCAAGTACCGTGGATCCCCTGAAACCACAGAAAACCAACGCGTTGCACAACTCATATATGCCTTAGAGGCTCTGCAACACTCTTATGCCTATGGCACAGCAGGGTGAGGGTGGGAAGTGGGGGTGGCCAGTGAGGGTGGCGAGTGAGGGTTGCGAGTGACGGTGGCGCAACAGGTGAAGCTAGATGCACACAGAATTCGGGGTTGGAATTGGGTACCTTGTTAGGCCGTGATAACCAAAAGTTCTCGAGCTGTCCCCGGAGTACGCAAAGATGATGTTGGACGGGCCCGCCAGCTTCACTGGCACGTTTCCAGATCCCTCCGTGCGAGTGAATCTGCAGCCAAACAGAAATATTACCATGGGAGATCGATAGGTGGCTATAAGTTCAGTCTAGGACCAGAATGAAAGGTTTAAGAAGGGCACGGGGCACGTCTGCAGCGCACTCACTCGAGGATATAATCGTGATGTTTCAGCTCGCTTGATCGCTGCTCTCGTTACAGTCAACACTCTTGCTACAATCGCCACTCACTCGAGGATAGTCGCGGCGCCTGTCACCGCACGGCCCTTTGCCCCCCCGAGGAAAGAGCTCATTTCCCCAACGCGCTCCTGGCCGCCGGCGGAGGTCGACACGAGCTTATAAGCCGCCGGCAGGCCCGACCCGTTGACCTCTGTGCCGTCCGCCGCCCGTTCCTCGAGATTGCCAACCACCGCGTCGCTGCCGGCCATGTTGCCGTCCGGCGACCACCCCACTGCCGCCCAGCCGGAGGTGTACGTCTCGAGGGCGAGGTGGAGCTCCGTCGAGTTGGGCGTCTTCCAGTGGAGAAAGAGACTGGGGGCGGGCGTATTTTCGAGGGGGCAAGGGGAGAAAACAGAAGAGCATGCAATTTCAGTCGAACGTTCACAAATGCGAGGTAGGTCGAGTGGCGTCCAGCCGACAAAGGTGCATTTCTGCCTAGTAGGGCGCGTGGGCGATCCACGCATTTGAGGTCGCTCGATGCGATTTCTGCAAAGTTTTTCTAGGGAGTAGTTGACGTCAGCAGCTGAGCGCAGCTTTCAGTGAGCGGCGCCGCCACTCTCGGTCGGAATTGAAAGAGAATCGACGGAATGCGACACCAACCAAAAGAGCAATTCAGGGAGAGCGCACCTGTCAGTGAGCTGCACCTCCACGTCGTATCCATGGAGAGTCGATACAACGCAGTTACTCTGCGCCGCCGCACCCGACGCGAAGAGCGCGCCGTAGAAGGCCACGGCGAACAGCACCGCCGCGAAAGCCGGCGCCATGGACGGAAACTTTCCAGCCACGACGATTGCGCGCCGAGTTCGGGTTTCTTACTCGAAGAACCCCTGGGGGTGCAGCTGACGAAGCTCGCGAAGCTAAGCGACGCTCGCGAAGCTAGTAAGCGTAAAGCTGACGTGCGGGAATTCGAAGCAGGCTTGCGAAAGACCCGTTTAGGAGCGTAGCAGCTGCGCGCGGGGATCAGATCTGATGAAGATTACCGAACTCTGATGAGAGTATGTAGTAGGGGTAGGATCTAGTACGTTCAGTAGAGGAGATGTGCTGGAACTGAGAAGGTACCGAAGTATGGGTATGAAGTATGTAGTATATCGTATGGGTACGGTTGAGGATCTAGTAGTACGCTGCTCCGTAGAGGAGATAGTGCAGGAACTGAGAAGGACGTGCTCCTAAATACCCCCAGTACCGAGAGCGGGATTCTCTCGGTAGGAATGCCTACGGGAGTCGCTCAGTGAGCGGGTTGTAGCTAACATTGTCGGGCGTTCGGCATTGCGCACACTTCCTAAAATTACAAGTTAAAACAATTGCGGCTCCAGAAGAGTTCCACCCAATCATGGCTGAACGTCGTCGGGCATTTGGCGCTGCGGCACACTCCATCCCATTTCCCATTGCCCATCCCATCCCATCCCATTCCATTTCCCATTTCCCATTTCCCATTCCAATAATTGCTCGCCCGGTGGAATTCGACGCATTCTTGCTCCAATTTTCCGTGTCGCGGTTCAGGAAGGTTTGCCCAGCGAGGCACGGGGGATTCACAGATGCTCGCGTATGATTGGCTGTAGCGTGGAATGTCAGCTCGGGTCGAACCAGAAATATGCGCTGTTCTGAAATCGGTACGGATACAAGCTTCCAAATCTGTAGTACAGAACAACAGATAACTCTAAACTTTAGCGCGCGCTTTTATGGGCCACAATGACGCAAATAACTTATGGTGCTTGCTCCCTATCCTTTACCAGGCGCAGGCCATCTGTCAGTGGGTTAGCATCAGTTAATTTGAGACTGCTTCCGATTTTAGGTGCGACGCGGATATCTGTCACATCTGTCTCTCCAGACTCCTCCAACTAGCCTGCATCCTGATTGGCTTCCCATCCCGCCAGCCAGCTGTCCTCCCCTTCATCTCCCTCCCCATTTCCTTTTCCTTGACCCCCCTCGCTCTCCTCTCCGTCTTCCCCTTCACCTTCACCACCCTTCGCGGTCCGTTTATCATTCCTACTTGCATCATCCCCAGTCCCTCTCTCATCATTCCCCATCCCTCCCTCGTCATCCACAGTCTTCTCATCATCCTCACTCCCACCACCCTCTTGAGTGGGAGACCCACTGCTCTCACTGCCGACATCAGCCCCATCAGCCCTCAACTCCCCCTCAACACCTCTTCCACTATTTGTTTTGCTGTCACTGCCGACATCAGCCCCACCAGGTCTCGAATCCCCCCCACACCTCCTCCTCCATAACTGCTCTCATTGCCTGCAGCAACTGTAGCAGACTTGTCATCATGCTCTTCTCCTCTACCCTCCCCTTCACTATTGTCACACTCACTGTTATTAACCTCATCTCCCCTACTATCAGCCATACTACCCTCATCTCCGTCATTATTCGCTCTCTCTGCAGGGCCCACATCACCACTTGCACTACCAACCTCAGGTCCTTTGTTACTCAAACCCTCACCATGCTGTCGTGTGTGTCGAGATGAAGTGTCACATTTTGGAGAATTTGTCGATGACGACGAGGATTGCGTCATGACCGCCTGTGATAGTTGGTAACCCGGTTATGAAATCCAGGCGAACCACTTGCCATGGCTTTTCTGGAGAGGAAGAGGCTGTAGCAGTCCTGCCTGTTTCTGCTTGCTGCTCTTCATCCGTTGACATGTCGTACACGAGGTGACAAATTGCTGGACGTTGTCTGCCATGTGGGGCCAGTAGTAGTGCTTTGCAATACCGGTGAGCGTTTTGTTGCTTCTGAAGTGTCCCGCATATAGAACATCGTGGTATTCTTAGAGTAGTAATTGGCGCAAAGGAGGGTAATTGGGTACCCAGATTTCCGTTGATCCCTTCCGCTACGCGATGTCACTGTCCCACTGTAGCACGTGTCGTTTTGCCGCCAAAGGAATTTCGGAGTCGATGGCGTACCCGTGTGTGAAGAGTCCCTCGAGGAGTGGGCTGATCTCTTTGACCTGGATTGTGGCAACGTGTGCAGGCCGACTGAGAGCGTCTGCTTCGTTTTTGTGGCTGGGCTTGTACACGATGTCATACTGGAAGTGTGTCTCAAGGAAGTCGATCCATCGCACCTGCCACCTAGAGATGTTTGGTTGTGTCTTCAAATATTTCAGGCTGCATTGGTCGGTGTAAACGGTTGTTTTCCGTCCTTCGAGAAAACATCTCCACGTTTTGAAGGCGATGATAATAGCAAGGGCCTCCTTGTCGTGTATCGGGTAGTTTAGTTCTGCCCCGTGTAGTTTCTTGCTGAGGTAGGCGATTGGTTGCAGTCCATTCCCCTGGTCTTGCATCAAGAGTGCTCCCACTGCCTAGTCACTAGCGTCAGCTTTGATGACGTAGTCGCGTTCGGGGTCTGGCAAGATGAGTACGACTGCGGATGTGAGTGCTTGTTTCAGCTGCTCCACGACTTTCTGATGTTTTGGTTCCCACTTATAGGGCGTGTTCTTCTTCAGCAGACTCGTGAGTGGTTTTGCGATTTTTGCGTATTGTGGCACGAACCTGTTGTAATAGTTAGCGAAGCCTAGGACCTGCTGCAACTCCTTCACGTTCTTGGGTGTCTTCCACGTACGTACAGCTTTGATCTTCTTGGGGTCGACGTGAACTCCTTGAGCGCTCACCATGTGTCATAGGAATTGGACTTTCTCAAAGGCGAATTCGTTCTTGGATAATTTGACGTAGAATCGTTCTCGTCGAAGAATGTCGAAGACGCGTCGCAGGTGTTGGACGTGCTACTGCATGTCGCGTGAGTATATGAGGATGTCGTCTAGGTAAAGCACCACGCATTCGTCCAAGAGTGGGCGTAGAATATGGTTGATTTCGGCTTGGAATGTTTCCGGTGCGTTGGTGAGTCCGAACGGCATTACCAGATACTCGTACGACCCGTACCGAGTTTGGAAGGCATTTTTATGGATGGAATTGTCCGCCATTTGTACTTGCCAGTACCCGGACCACGGATCTAGTTTGGAAAATACCATGGCTTCCAGAAGCTGGTCAAGCAGGTCATCGATTCGAGGGATTGGGTATTTGTTCTTGATGGTCTGCTTGTTGAGAGCTCGGTAATCGATGCACATGCGCAGGCTTCCGTCTGGTTTCGGTGTGAAGAGTACTGGGGCACTGTAGGGCGAAGTGGCTGGTCGGATGAGTCCTTTTGCGAGGAGATACTCGATCCATTTCTTCATGTCGACTAGCTCCATGGGGCTGAGCTGATATGGTGTTCGGAAGGTCGGCTTCGAACATGGTACTTCCACGATCTCGTATTGGCGCGTTCGGTATGGTGGCAGCTCGTTCGGAAGGTCGTCGGGAAGAATGTCTTGGAACTCCTTCAATAATTCCTTCATTTTTTGTGGAGGTTCCGAGTTTTCTCCCCGTCATTTTCCACCTCTGTTGCTATCGCCAGGAACCCGGTGTCGGTTCGCTTTACGTCCTTCTCGAATCGTACGAGTGTCTCCACCAGGATATCTCCCGTATCGTCCCAGTTGGGTAGCTGGACTCTCCTTCTATTGTTGTAGATGCTTGTGGTACCCCGTTGATCTCGGGGTTGTTTTTTTTTAGGAAGTCTCGCCCGAAGGTCAAGTCAAGCCCTCTTACAGTGGCGAAAACAATTGTCCGTGTGTTTTGCATAAATTTGGGTTTTTAGGCTTTAAGACCACTATACATTACGCCTTAATGTTTAATGGTGGTACGATTTGGGAGGGGCACATAGTGGATGTTTTCATAGCACAAGTATCAAGAATTGTACATTAGATCTACCTTATATGCCAAAAGATATAAAAGGGTACATCCGGACAAATAGTTCCAAGCCGAGAGAGCAAACTTCAAAAGTCATTTCTAGTTCCTAGCCCACCGACCTTTGGCCTTGATCACCGCCCGCACCCTCCTAGGCGAGCTGTCGATGAGGCTAGAGCAAACCTCGGCATGGATCTTCTCCCATTCGTCCCGGACCAACTCTTAGAGCTCTAGCATTTCAGAGGAAGGCCTTTTCTGGTTGGCTAGCTCCCTTTTCAGGTAAGCCCCAGAGGTTGAGGTTTGGTGAAAAAGAAGGCCACTCCAGGGCTACATACTCATGTTCTCCAAGTCATTCATGCACTAGGCATAACAAATTCTTGGGGTCATTGTCCACACCGAGATGACCTCAGAGGAGAAAATGCTATAGAAATGGAGGTTCAATTCGAGTTCGTCATGCAAAATGCCCTCATACAGGGGCCTCTCCATGCATCCGTCAATCTTGCATATGAACCCCACCCCGCACATGTCACACATCCCCACACCATCACCGATCCTTGTCCCCATGGTTTACCGTCTGTTTGATTTGGTGGTGTTGCAGGGTTGTGCCTTCACAAATCCAGGCAAACGCGCGGCCATTGGAGCTGAAGCAATTGATGTTGGTCCCATTTGACCATATCACATGCTTTCGAACACTAATTGTCCACTCCACGAATTGCAGCCGACCCCTGATTATTTTCCAGA